GGAGCAATGCCAGTCCTCTCCTAGAGAGCGCAGGGAGCAGGAGGTTGGGCAGCTGATAGTATTGGAAGATCTCAGCACCTTACTGCCTACATACCACCACTACACCAAGAGGATGAACATCCTCTTCTGTATCACATGCAGCACTGCAACAGCTAACAACTGCTAAACTTTCAATAGTCAGGGAACAGCCTGAGGCATGTCCCCTCTCCATTCCCTCCACAACTTCAACTCGCAAAGACAGGAAAAAAGATTAAAATGGAAAATGGCAATATAGTCTGAAAAGTAACTACATAAAAATATCATCACCTCATCCAGCAAGCCCACTCCTTGCATTGTGTTCAGTTAGAGGCAGGAAGCGTCATACTTTTCTCTGGTGTTACTTCAGCAGAGCCAGCAACCCCTCTATGGGTCCCTGGATCCTATTCCTTGCCTGCAGGAGAGCTCACCCTGAAGATGAGGTGACATGGTCTGGCATCCTCTACTCCTCAGCATTCCAAAAACAGTCCCCTTTCAGATTCCAAGAAAATATGACAAGATAGCACATTTGAAGAATAGCCCTCAGCAAACAGAGTTGTGCTTAATTGAATTGCAGAGAAATCGCAGGATCTAAAGCCTTCCTGTGTAATGCTCACAGAAAAGCTTTTCTGAATGAACCTCACTTTCAAAAAACAAAGTAACACATGGGCAAAACAATGATGCAGAAAAGAGTGATTCAGGCACAAAGGTGGATGTGCAGCTTGTTTTGGGTTTTTTTTGGTATTCGCAATGACAGAAGCCATGAACTTCAAGTAAGCATCTAAACATGCATTGTATAATTGCAGTATAAAACTCACTGTATATTTGCAATATAAAACTGATGCTAGTTACCTCGTGCAAACCTATGGCAATGTAAGCTAACAAGTGCACAGGATGCCTAATTAAAAATACTGGTAGTGTTTAGTCCTAATATCAATTGTTAGTACAGGAGAACAGTAGTAATGTCTAGGCACTTAAAAGTTGACAGAGAATTCAAGAGCGCTTTCCCATGCTGCCTGAAAAATAGATCATCCAGTCTACAGTGGTTTCTAATGCTTATTTCTAGGACTTAGAAACAGGATAATAAAACAGAGAGAATGTGATCTGCATGCAGGTTAGCCTTTCTGTGAGCTATCTGCGTGTCAAGAATATTTGTAAACTTCATTAATATAAATAAGGAGAGGGAGGGAGAGTTTACCCCAGAAGAAAACAGCATCAAAATCAGTCTGTGATGATTAAGCCTATGACAAAATGAGTGAGATAATGACCAAGGAAAGGATTTTGTAGGTATTCTCATTGCTTCCCTCTAGGGTTAATTATTTGGATGTAGAAAATGCAGGACAATCTGGAAAGAGAAGAACCAAACTTGCATCCCAGGCCTTGCCACCTTTAATACCCATGACTGCTAACACTGGAAAGTCAGGTCAAAGTGTACGTGACCCATCAGAGCATGGTGCTTGCCATGGGATAGCTGTTTTCTGCTGACTGAGAACAAGGGAAGACAGCTCATAGTCCCAGGAACCGCAGGTTGCCCTGGTAACCACTAGGACTCCAGTAGCGTGTGCCACCTGCAGACCTGTGTCCCCTTTGACTCCTTCATTTCCTGCCAATGACTCTGCTCTTCCTCTCCACTGCTGTTCTGACCCATAGAAATCCAGCCGATCATCTCTTTGCGCTTCATGCTGCGCCTGTTGTATATGGAGATCATTAGCGTGACATCAGAGAGCTGGAAAAGGGCAACCTGGAAGATGAAAGTTTCCTTGTAGACGGGATTGGGCTGTCCGCGACGGATAGAGGTCTTGCAGCGAGACATCTCCTGGCCCACAGAGTTGAGCAGGCAGAGCTTTCCGTAGGTGTCTAGGACAAAAAACATGAAATAATGTTTGGCACAGGTGACAGACTAAATGAAAGCCCAAAGTGGCCAACCACCCCCCCCCAAAAAAAAAACCCAAGTAGAGCAGCTTTTAGTGAACAACAGATGAGGACTGGATTGCTCTCCTTAGTAAACTCCATGGGATGAGAAGCAGCAGGTGAAAGCACCTCTTGGATTTCCTCATATTCAGCTGGGGAGAAGAAAGGCAGGAAACTGATGTGTGTTTCAGTCCTAGTCTCTTGGAAAGAGCAGGAAATCTGGTTCTCAAGCCTAGCAAGCCTGCCTAAGACTAACAGAAACTATGAGCATCTCTATGGATTTTCCACATCAAGTGGTGTGTCTGCACCTTCCCTTCCTCTCCCTCACAATCAAGCTTCATTGGAGCTGTCTTACCAGAGCTTCCATTGGCTGCACTTGCCTCTCCACCACTTTCCTTTGGAAGAATGCCTCTATGACCTATTATTTGAGATAGCAAACAGAAAGGGTCCTGAAAAAGAGGGAAAGGAAACCTGCATACACAGTGAAATTATCTGATCCTGCATGACAGTTTCAAGGCTTTTTTCAGATTCTCATCTTACTTTTTTGGTGGACTCAAGGTCAATTTCATTCACTATTAAAGTCAATACAAAGAGTAAAAATGCTCAGTAGATAGAGGGAAGGGATGGTCCAAGTCAGCATTCCCATAAACCCACCCTTAGAACTCTTGCTGTCTCCTGCATTAATCAGTTCACCTCTGTTATGTGGTCACTAATACTGTGCTCTCAGACAGAGCTCTGTGGTCCCAAGGCTCCACAGACCCAGCTCAGTTTAAGTTTTCACCTCATTCTGCACGTGATGGTAACAGATCACTTGGCTAGAAAAGTCTCCTCCTAAACCCTTCATAATCTGTGCCTGGGTTTCTGCAAGTGAGTATCATTTCAGAGTGTGCTGAAGACAGGAAATAAATAACAAGGCTCCGTCTCTTGTCTACAGCATGTCTGTCCTCTTCTGTTCCCATTTGATGTGCTATTTTATGCACTTATCTACTGAGCAACACAAGGTGTGAAATTACACTTCAGGTGTGAAAACACTTCTGTGTCTCCAAAGCAAGGCTCTCCGCTCCTCTCAAACTGTTCCACTGAAAAAAGCTGTCAGGAGACTGACAATCGAGGAGCAAATTGTGAGCCTGCACAGCTGTACAGCTACCGAGTTACTGCGGGGAGAGTTCAGTCCCATCATTAGCTGGGGATACCAGCTTGGCTCCCAGCATAACACTGGAGATGAAGTAGATCTTGCCAACAAAGACCTACTCATTAGACAAGAAAAACAGAGCTCTGACATGAAATAGTTTCCTGATTGTATCTGGGAAGGAAAGAACTGCTTTATCAAGAGGTGGACTAATTCCCACTGTAATATTCAATGTTGGTGCTGCTGAGGGACTGAATTCTGTAAAAACTTCAGACCCATCAGAAACAAAAAGCCCAAGAGAGGACTCTGTCTTCTAGCTTAACTCAATGTGAAACCACACAAGATAACTACCAGACACAACCTCTTGCCATACTCGTAGAGATGTCACTTTGCTGTGCACTGACAAACCGTAACGCACACTAAAGCATTCCTCGTGTAGAAGTCTGGTTGCTGGTCTGAGGCTGCAGAGAAGTCCCCAGAAACAAAAATAAGTGGGGATTAAGGATTTTATGGATTTTTTTTTTTTTAATGTACTCACTCTTTCTTTCTTTTTTTTTTTTTTTGTGAGGAGGGGATTTCAAAGTAGTGAAAAATCTCCACACGGCTGAATTTTAAAGAGAAACAAGCAGATAATTTGTACAATTCCCTGTTCAATTTTTAATTTTTTTCTTTCTTTCAAATTGAAAGCTTGTATTTTCTACATAATTGCAGTGCATTTTCCAAACCAACCTCATTTACAGGCAGAAAGCCTTATTTCTGCTGACACACAACAGAAGTGAGTGCTGAGACCCAGGAATTCAAGGAGATGAGACACTCTCTAGTTGCTCCTGGTCACTACTCCATTTTTCTCTAGATATGTCCCTGGTGTCATAATTGCTTTCCCCACTACCCTCTGAGAACTGCTTTGCTGAGGGTGAGAGCATTTAATTGGGATCACAGTCCACAAGGGCAGAGCTGTGGCATGGAGCAGCACTGGAAAGGTCCTGCTCCTGGATCCCTTAGCAGCTCTTGGAAGGGTTTCCTCAGCTGTGCTGGGGCAGGGGATGGGCTGAGCAGAGAAGCACTATGCAGCCAAGGACTGCTACAAACACCCTCACTGCTGTCCCAACTAAGCATGGCAATCTGCAACATAACAGCATATGAAGTATTTTTTCAGCTTATCATCCCATGCTACTTCAGGGAAAGGTCACCCACACTGCTTGTACCTGGTTTTCTGAGAAGATGGGGAGAAGACTGAAGGTCTAGATTTTCCTCTCAGTAAGCCTTGCTATCATCCTTCCTACCACTGTCAGTATTGACAGCTCAGGTGTGATTCATCACACCTAACCACAGCTACATATGTTTAAGCAGTCCCCTACAGAGACAAACAAGTTCTAGTCAATACTATCAAAGCTGCATGTGACATAATTCAGCAAAGATCTAGTAGACAATGCTACCATTACAGATGATTTAGGTTTTAACACTAAAGTAAGTGCCACAGCTAAAACACCTCATAGGATGCTGCTTCAGGATGTCCCAGCTAATTTTCCAGGCAATGAATGGATGAGTTTTTTGCAATCATAAAACTATAGGATGTTGCATCCCTGACTGAGGCTTCAACTTTTACAAGTAAGGAGTAATATAGCTGGCTTTAAAAAAAAACGAGCATTGTACAACTGATGACTTAAACCCAAGAGAGATCAACATCAGAAAATCTGGCTTTTTCTTTAATACACATCAGATCTGCTACATAATTCTGCACCAAGGCCCTGTCTATACAGTACCAAGGTCAGTGGGGATTCTGCAGGTATCATCTGGATCAGGCAACAATGTGCAGGCTGGGAGGAGACTATGCTCAGGGCAGAGCTAATACCAGGAGTCCTGTTCATCCTCAGGTAAACACGGGCACGAAAACAGTGCAAGTGACAACTAAATCAGGCTGTTAATTCTTCTCAAATTTATTCCACTGGGTGTATTTACCAGCCAAAAGAATCAAGCTTGCCTGAACAGAAATAAAAGAGTAGGTGTGGATAATATATTTAGCATCTGAAATTTGCTTTGCAGAGCTGGTACGTATGAGGCTAAGCTGTTATTCTGCTTCACTACTACATTTTGAGATTGTGGTTTGCCCTTACTGCATTGTGCTCCTCGCAGCATCTTTTTAGGTGTTTCATCAAGAAACAGCTCCTAGTTCTTCTTGTGGTCCAGTCTGGTCCTTTGAGATGGGAAGCTCTCCTCTTCGGTTGGCTTTGCCAAAGAAAATACATCTCCAGATACACGGTGAAATTAGTGGAACTACAACAAGGATGGACTTGAAAATTTACTGAGGAATGTATGTGTGAGAGCATCTATTCATTATGAAGGCAAACATTTTCCATCTAATTACATGCTCAGATTCAGTAATGGCCTCATTACTGTGGTATCTCAGCACTTTATGCTCTTCAGTGTATTTACTTTCATGCAACCTCTGTCAAGCACAAAAGGAGGAGAGAGATTAAGGCTTACATTCTTTGAAATGCCTAAGTTCTCACCTTTTATTTAGGCACCTATGTCACTGACATAAAGAGGAGCGAGACCTCTTAATATCTGGGAGTGTCTGAGACTGCAGCTTGCCCATAGTTACACAAAAGTCCGCGAAGAAGCAGGAGCAAAGTCTAATTTTGCCGAGACCAATTTTAGCACTGCATCTACCAGGCTCTCCTTTCTATACAGGCTTTGGAACAGAAGTTCTTGGTATGGATCTTTTTTACTCTAAACTCAAATTTCATCTCTGGTATGAGTGGATTGAACAATGCTCACATATACATAAAATATCAACACCTCTGCATTTCATATCAGAGTGAAAAGCACTAAATCAAGGAATGCTGCAAGAAGCCAGACACATTTTGGGCTGGTGCATAATCTTACTCCAGAGTTTTGGCCAAACCTCTCCTCATGCAGACTGCTCTGTCTCCATCAACACCACCCCAACCATAAAACACCTCTTGAGAGCTCATCTGCAAAGACAATCAGTTTATCTGTGATACTTCTAATGACCCATTTCTGTCATCATCCTTCTAAGAGAACTAACTGATAATGACAACTCAGGGGAATAATCAACTATAATTTATATGTTCTCATCTTTGGAGCAGGTATCACAGTGTGCATTCTGCTTTCACTCACCCTAAGCTCCACCATTATTAATAAAGCTGACCCATGAACTAAAACACTGCAATATAAAAGCATCCAACCCCCTTCTTGAATTTATATTTAGAAAGGAAACAAACAACTGAAGACTCCTGACTCCTCAGGTCTGTGGACTGCAGGGTACAACACAGTGCTGAACGGACTTTCCCATCCGCACTCCAGGCAAGCTAGCTCATTTCCAAAAGCAGTATAATCATGTCAGCATGCTGCAATCCAGACTAATAAAACCCACAGTAAAATAAAGCCTTGGGCCTAGAGCTTAATTTCACCCAGCTGGCATGCCCACACTCCTAGCCTACATAATAAATGGCAGCATTGTGGCAATGCAGCCCCAGAGCTCAACTCTGTGCTACTCTGTACAGCACAGTTCGTTGCAAGATCTCAGTTTGAGACCCAGAAGACCTCTTTTCCATTAGACATGGCTTTACCTCCCCATTAAACCAGCAGTGGGGTAGGAATGCTCTGAACCTGGCTCACTGCAGCTGGATTAGGAAAAGAGCGGGAAGGAGAATTAGACCCAAGCTTTTGTTCCCAAATCCACATCATGAAAGCCTGGATTAGGCCAGAAGCAGCTTGCAGCCTACTCTGTAAATCATACAAGAGCTGAGAACTGCCTGCTACGTTGCTGAGGAGCCAACTTTCCTTCCCCTAT